ACAGGAAGAGAGAAGATGCTAGTCCTACTAGGACTGGATCCTGCAATAGGACAGAACTGACCTGCCAGGCAAGATACGCTGCTGGCCCCTAGTGGTGTGACTGTTCTGGAGGTGACCAGCGACATTCTAACAGGATCTTAGGCCTGCTCACTGAGGGAATCCATGCCTAGTACAGTAAGCCTGTCTCCGAGAGAGTCGTAAGCCACAGGAGGAACCCATCCATCACTGTTGTATTGCTAAGTGGTCATGTTGTCCAACTGCGTTCTAAATATTTGTGTTATGCCCATAGATTAGTGCTGCTCTCAATCATGACTAGAGGAGCTTCCTTTCGTGATGGGCAGCAGTTGACAGAGAGACTCAAAACTGGTTCAAGTGCTGAGAATAAGTAATTATGGATGCCCAGGCCTCATCAGACAGCTATATCAACTGCTCCCCTCCCAAGACTCAGGAAATATTGTGGAAGGGGGAGCACAAAGAATGTAATCGCTGGAGGATGGGGAAGAGTGTTGTCAAATGATGTCTTGTAAACATGACATCATCACTGTGCTTCTGAACTCACAGCTCATGATCTACACCAGATCAAGACAGTCAAAATTCCAGGATGATGTGGCAGGACTCAGAGGGCCTCCTCGCTAGCAAAAGGAGCCATTGGCAGTCAACGACGACCAGAGGAGAGAGAATCTTTTGGGAGTTTGGCCACTGACAGGCTGTCCGTGATCCAGTGGGTGGCCCCATACCCATGTGCAAATGGGTAGCACTAATTTGATTCAGTGGATCATTAAAAAGAAAGACAGACAGACAAAAGAAAAGAAGAAAGGAAGGAAGAGAACGAGAGAGAACTCTGGAGAGGATGTGATGGGGTTTGGTCATAGATGGAGGAAAGGAGAAAAGGTGGGTTTTCAAAATCTATTGAATGCTTGTGTGAAATTCTCAAAGAATAAATGAAAATATTCTATTAAAAAATATAGGGGTCAAAGCTGGGCATGGTGGTGCATGCCTTTAATTCCAGCACTCAGGAGACAGAGGTAGGTGGAACTGTGTGAGTTTGAGGCCAGCCTGGTCTACAGAGCCAGTTCCAGGACAGCCAGAGCTCCATAGTAGAGAGAGAGAGAGAGAGAGAGAGAGAGAGAGAGAGAGAGAGACCCTGTCTCAAAAACAGAACAAACAAACAAACAAAAAAAAGCAAAACAAAAAAAGTAAAGGGTCTACTACACTACACAACTTTTAGAAAAATTGTCTTTCAGCTTTTGAATAGAATATCTCTCTGCTTCATTTAAAAGAAGAAAGAGGAAATGTATTTACACAATAAATGCTCTCCAGTGACTGATTTGCATTTCACATATTTCCAATGCCACCTGGGGGAGAAAAAAAGATGTAGGGAACAGAATTCATGTCATGAAGATATCTGTTAAACTAAAACAAAACAAAAAATAAAAAAATCTATGAGATAAAGAAATGATTAGCTTCATCATGAGTGAAAAACCGTCAAAACCTTTGGCCAGGGCTGGAGACATGGCACAGTGGCCAACAGCACATACTGCTCTACCCGAGGACCATAGTTCAATTCTCAGACCCATGTCGGGGGCCACACAACAGCTGGTTTGTTTGTTTCTGAGACAGGGTTTCTCTGTAGCTTTGGATTCTGTCCTGGAATTCACTTTGGAGCCCTCGAACTCACAGAGATCCACCTGCCTCTGCCTTTCGAGTGCTGGGATTAAAGGTGTACGCCACCACCAGCTGGCTAACTCTGGCTCCAGGAGATCCGATGTCCTCTCCTGGTCTCTGAGGATGCTGGCGTTCACACACATACACAGACACACATATTGTTTTAAAGTCAGCTTTTCACCACCGAGTTGCACAAGGGAAAATAGGAAGGAGAGTTACAATGGCTTAAATAAGCTCTTACGTCTGGCTTTTAATTAATAAATTCAGCCTAATAATTAAAATGGAAACCCCAGTGCAAAGGGATGTGAGAAACTCTGAATCTGTGCTGTTCATCAGCTCACTTGTGACTGGTCTTTAAAATTACACATATTATTTCTTTAGTTTGTGGTGTGTGTGTGTGTGTGTGTGTGTGTGTGTGTGTGTGTGTGTGTGTATCTGAGTGTGCACAGGCATGCCCCACAGTGTATGCAGAGAGCAGAGGACAACCTGCTGGAGTCTGTTCTCTTTTTCCATTATGTGGGGCCCAGGGTGGAAGTTGGGTCATCAGGTTTGAAGGTGTCTTTACTGTCTCAGACATCTCCACTGCAGGGACTGATCTTTGTTTTGGGGGGTTTTGTCTAAAACTTTTTCTTTTCTTTCTTTTTTTTTTTTTTTTTTTTGGTGTGTGTGTGGGGTGGGGAGATAGAGTCCTTACCTGGCCAGAAACTCATTATGTATACTAGGCTGGCCTTGAACGATTGGAGATCTGCCTGCCTCCTCCTTTTCCCAAATGCTGGGGCTAAAGGTATGTATACCACTATCTCCAGCTGAGGCTGACCTATTAAAGTAGCTTAATAAATTCTACTTATGCAACAACCAAATTGCTTCACCTCAAAAATGTAAAAATTCCAATGTGTAATCATTTCAATAGCATGGGAAGCATCGTTTAGAGTATACTCTCTTTACATAAGTTTCCAGTTTCTTTGGGATCAAAACTGTTCACCTATTGAAACCACAGCAAGGCCTCAACGTTCATTTTATAGATACAGACATCAGGGTTAGCATCATATCGTTAGATTTTTTACTTCATGTCTTCCATTTTACAGCACATAAACTGGAGTAAGACACGATGCTATTTTCCCACGGTCAGCACAAGGGGGCTGGAAGGTTACATGCTCACGGGATACGAAAACACTCTGTATGCAGAGTGTTTGATTTCAGGATGTTTACTAAGGACTCAGACGGTGAATGAGCATCTGGCATCAGCTGAGGCTCTCTGGGTGATAGCTCACATAAGTCGTCACTGGGGACCACTGCAGTGACGCTTCCTGTAATAAGCTGTGTGCGTCCACGGGAAACCTTGCTGAAAACAAGACCTAGCCTCTAATTGCCTTGAACTTTAATAATGTCGGTATGTCCCTTGGCCACAGTTTTTTTCTCTCATATAAACTCAGAATTATGAGGCAGGAAGATGTTTGACCTTTTGCAAAAAGGACCACTGTAAGTTCTTGAATCAAACTGTTTTCTGCTCTATCTTAGATGATGGTCGTTTATTTGATAAGACTAGGGTAATTTTTAGGATTTTGAGAATTTGTGGTAGAATATGAGCTGGGTCTTATGGGTCAGGCCTGTTAATCCCAGTTACTCAAGAAGCTGAGGCAGGTGGGTACAGAACCTTCCTTGAATACAGAGAAAGTTCAAGGCCACACTGAATAACTTAGTGAGACTCTCAAATTAATTTTTTTCAGGGATGTAATAGAGCTCAGTACTAGAGTGCTTGCCTGGCATCCATAAAAACCTAGGTACACTCCCCAGCACCTTTATTTTTTTTAAGGAAAAAAAACTAAAGTGAGAATTAGCCACACATATGCATAATTCGACATTTTAGGCTGTTCTGAAGGATGATTGTGAAGACAGGTTTCTTGACAGAAGGGTAATCTAGATCGACATTCTAGATCAGCACTGCAGTTTTGCCAGTTAGAATCATGAGAAAACAAGCGACCAGTCTCTCCATGAACGGCCTGGGTTTAACCTCCAGCTCCCATGCCACGCCCTACCCTGACCCTCAGAGCTAGGACGTCCAGTGTCTTTACAGACACAGCTGTGTTTGCTGCGGTGTTGCCTTGGAATTAATTTCCCTTAGAACACTAAGTAGGTACTCTCTGATACTACAAGCATATGGTCATTTTCGCACAGTGCTATTTCTGTAAGATATACTTTCTCTCCATCCCCAGCATGTGCTTCCTTCAAGACAACTCACGGAAACAGAAAATGATAGCAATTTAATGTCTTTTCCCACTTGGAGCAACAGATTTGTTAAAACCTAAACATATGCTTATCTTATTTCAAGAAAGTGTACCCAAAGAAACTGAATATCGATCGGCATCTCATATGATACATTTAAATGTCTCCATTTATATCAAAGTAAAATTTAAAGAAGCAATGCATTTCGATACTGTGTAGTGGCTTTTTTATCTAAAGAGACCAGGATGGCCGTGGAACAATGAAAGAACACAATAATGCTAGTCAAAGGCAGGTGACCTGCTTCGTAAAATGCACTGAGAGGGGCCGGAGAGATGGCTCACTGAAGAAGAGGTTAAGAGGTTCCAGGGGACCCAGGTTTATTTCCCAGCACCCACATAACAGCTAACAATCGTCTGTAATTCTAGGTCCAGAGGGTCAGTTGCCTTCTTCTGGCCTCCAAGGGCACCAAGTACACATGTGGTGCACAGACATATATGCAGGCAAAATACCCACACACATTTCGAAAAATTAAAAGCTTTTTAATTAAATGCACAGATACCTTTGCCTAACTGCCATTTGCCAATCCCTACCCTTGCCTCATTTCTGCTCCTTCTTCATTGCCATCGGAAACTATTTACAAGTCTCTTGTGGGGGAGGAAACAACGTAAAAGTTGAAAGATGAGGAGGAGTGCTTTGAAACACTGTATTCAGGACAGGACTGTTCTGTGTTTTTAACAGAGGCTACCAGATAAAAATTCTGAAACTGCTGGCTTCATTCTGTTCCCATGTCACTTTCTTTGCTCCTCTTCTCCCGTGATTAGAATTCATTCTCATACCTGAGGCCAGCCCTGTCAGCACTGCCGGGTAGCTGACTGTTTCATTCCTTGATGGAGCTATCTAGCAGAATTGTGTCTTCCTCCAGGCTTTTACAGTACACACCCCTGACAAATATACACCTCGCACTTCTGACAAAGCAAGTCCTCAACTGGCTGATGTGGGGCTTGCTACATCTCCGGCCCCTGCTTCTTCTCATCTTCAGATTCTTGACAACTCTCACAAAGCCTAACAAGTAGAAGCATTCGGGAAAGATGTGCAGAACCGAGAATACTCACTTTCAGGCATGAGCTATTCTCAATAACTCAAGAGCTGAGCTTGCCCCAGATTGTCCGCAGAGCGGCATATGACTTCTGTTCCATTTTGTTTTATTAACCTGTAGGAGACCCAAAAAAGGAGGAAAAATACCTTTCCATTATGGGGTTGCCAGGGGAAAAAATGCCTGCCCAGTCCAAAGTAAATTTCAGAGAAACAACTAATAATGTTTAAAGTATAATTCCAAATATCATGTGTGACATATTTAAATTAAAACAGTATTTGCTGTTTAAATTCACATTTAGGGAGGCAGCCTGAATTTCTTTTGCCAAATCCTAAAAAATGTTTCAAAGCGTTCTTGGAGGACTTGGGGTCTGCTTCCTTGACACACCTGGAAGTCTGTGTGGGAGCTCTGCAAACTTCCCAACTAGCCAGGTTTTACATCTGTGAATGCAGCTGGGGCTCGTCCTGAGTGATTTGGTGACATGCTTTAGGAAATGCTCCTTGTTACATAATATTTCCCTGATTTTGTTAATTCCTTAGAATTCCCTTATAACACGCCATCAACAATTTTTAGCACAGAAGACACTCCAATGTTGGCTTCAAAAATCTCTCAGAAGCTAACATTCGGGAATTTTCAGTGGAATCCTCAGGACACAATAGAGAAAATGAGCAAAATTTCACCCCAGTGCTGTTTTTCCTCGTTAGCCTAGCACAGCAGCACTCACTGTCCTCAGGCTGGGAGAAGCAGCCAGGCAGGCAGAGAAGGAGCCCGCCCGTGATGTAACTGCGGTAGTCTTCTAGAGAGACCCTTTCCTAAATATGAAACATCTGTAAACAGAAGCACCCCAGCCTCTTCCTTGTATGAGCCGACTTGCAAGATTATCGCCTCGTTATTCTTCACAGGGAATCTTGAGCTTTTGGTCAACATCAGAATTCCTTAGAGATGGGTCAGATTACCTACCTGTCTCTCACAGACCGGGAGAGGGCTGACTTTGTAGGCTAGTGTGTATGTAGTATGTCAGCTTGCTGGTTTACTGGTTAATTGTGATGGTAACATGACAGTTACAGCTCAAAGTGTAAGTCTGCTTCAAGCCAGGAGGTTCCCTGCAATAAAACATGTTGCTGTTCTTGACGGCGTTGTCTTACAGAGAAAGCATCCCTTTTCCCATAAGAGAGAGGTCAAGAAGAAATATCTCACAATAGTGAGGAATAAGGAGAATGTGTGCCTTTGGCAAAATTTCAACTAGACTGACCTCAAAAGGAAACTTCTAGGGAGAGAATGAATAAGACTGCTCTTACCCCGTGGTATCAAAGACAACAAGGTATTATGACGTTTATCCCAATGGAGGCATGCTACCTGCTTTCCACCATATTGGTAATACCAGTTAAGGACGGTTGTCGAGCGACCGACACAACACGCACACTCACGTTGCTGAGATGCAGAACAAAGACCGAAAGCCTGCCTAAAATCAGCCTCTCCAAATGACAGCCTCAATTTATGACACCAATCTAAAGCTCGCGGGGATTTGTGACGTCTTTTTCTCGGTTTGTGGGGAGAAAGACATGAAATTTGGAAAGCTCCAAGCAGTGGCTGAGGCTTCCATCTGTCTGTGTGGGGCAGAAAGGCTCCCACACATATTCATTAAACTTGATCTGAAGCGAGTCTGTGAGGTCGTTTCTGAAATATTCATAAGGTGTGTTACCGGACTCGCCACTTAGAGGTTGAGCAGACACACCAAGAGGGGGAGTAGTCGGTGCCCACACTTGGAAATAAAGGCACTTGGAAAAACAGCATGCCTTGCTATACTGTTCTGTCTTTAACAGCTCTCGGGGCTGTTGTTCTCCGCCTGCCTGTTCAACTGCACCTGCCCCGGAGATGCTCCAAGAGTGGAGTTTCCCACAGTGGGAGGAGGCGCAGCCCCGCAGACCTGGCTCGGGGTGGAGACTCCGAGACCTCCGGTCTACAGCTCTGCCACTCTACCGCCTGGCACCGCCCTGGGGCCTGACCCGCAGGGCCGAGGGCTCCCCGTGGGTCAGGACCCTCCACTCGTCCTAGTCAGACCGCCCTTTGTCCCCGGCTTCGGATCCCTCCCTAGGCACCTGCAGTGGCGTTCAGTCGCTAGGCGACCTGCGCCCCTGGGACCCAAACAGCTTCCAGCGCTGACCCGCAGCGCCGCGGGTGTTAATTTCCAAGCGCAGGATGAGAAAGAGGATTTATAGTCTTGGGTGACCCCGGCGCTCCTGCACCCAGGTAGTGCGCACTTTCATCCATGTCCCTTCACTGTCCCCAACCCCGAGCGTTTCTGCTGTCCCCTACGCAGCTCAGCAGCCGCCTCTCTCTTCTCCAAGGGCATTCGCCCCTCGAATCCTCTGGGGTCGTGACTCACCGGGTCAGGGACAGCGGTGGGCTCAGCAGCTCCGGGACAGCGCCAGTGTGGTCTCCATCTCCGTCTTCGCTCCGGCTACGCACTGGCGACCGTGACCACCGCGGCTGGTCCCTTCGCGGAAGCTGGACAGAGGCGGCCGCGGCTGCCGCACTGGCTGCGGGCGCGGGAGGGGCGGGGGAGGGGCGGGAATCTGGGTCGCGTGGAGCCCTGCAAACCGGGATGCACCCTGGGCGGCCGGCGGCGAGGAGGCGACCGAGAGCAGCTGGGGAGGGCGTGCAGAGGTTTCCCTGGGAGCTAGACGCGGGCGGCTACTGAGCATGCTCAGTCCCGGAACCCCGGGGCGCGGGCGCGGCGGGGAGGAATGAGAGCGTGGCCCGTGCCTGAACCTGGGAGGAAAGGGTTAAAACTGCGGAGTTGCCCGCAGTGGCCCAGTTTAATTGCCCAGGAGTCGACCACCCCTAAAGGAGTCTAGGACTGTGTGAACCTGGAAGACCTGTCAATGGGATTCCCGAAGAATCTAGGGCAAGGTGTGTTCCTCCAACTCCTCCGCAGAGGATTGCCCAGAAGTCAAAGTTTGTTGTTAGCTCATCGTCAACCTCCCCTCAATCCAGGTACCCAACCATCAGTTGCTTTCCTGTGTCCTCTGTCTCCCAAGCAAGCTCTGCCTCTCCTGATTTTTGGACAGGTCAGGTCAAGTTGACCAAGAACCAGCTCTTTAATTAGGTGTGCCTGAGAGCTCAGCCTTCCCAGGTCCACACCTGTATTTCAACCAGGGCTTCAGAAACAACACCTTATCCCAGGCTTAATTATAATGGGAAGAATTACACACATCCTGGTTTGCAGTTATTTGGGAAACAGGAATGGCCTAACTCCTAAACACCCCACCCCCTTGCCACTCCCTCTCTCTCAGTTGTATTTTCTGTTTTATAAAGAACTCTTCATAGGCAAGAGCTTCTGGACAACACAGAGATACAGGATGGCCTTTGAAACTGACCATTCCTCATGAAGCGTTGTTTTTGCCCGTGGTGTTGTGTCCTCTCTGGTATACGTTGCTTTCTACTCCACTTCATGAAGCCCTACTCACTGTGAGCAATGCCACCTTCTCTGAAACTTGTCTCCAACGCTAGTTAATGTCCCTTTGTCAGAGATCACCTAGGCAAGCACCACTGTCACAGTACTTAACATGGTCAGCTACTGCTGTAGAAGAAGGTAAACCAATCAAACCGATTGTTTTGTGCAGCCATCGAAACTATGTGCCAAGAAAATAGCAATAAAGGCAGACAGGGGTTTCCTCCAAAGAGAGCTCACAATCTGCTGAAAAGGACAGGTAAGCCAGCATAGAGGTAGCACTTGGGAGGCAGAAGCAGGTGGATTTTCTGAGTTTGAGGCTAACTTGGTCTACATAGTGAGTCCAATAAGAACAACAAAAACAGGCAATAAATACCTAAAATAGGAATCATCACCAAGGACAGAGGCTAAGTTGTTTTTGATGTTGCATTAGCCATCAAATGAATCTACAGAGACCTGATTCCTCCCTTGAAAACAGTGGATAAAAGTGTTAATAATGACCCACGACTGTCCAGACTGTATGGGGTCCCTGCTAGTCTGTTTTTGCACCTTTGGTTTTTGCTCCTTTCATTTGGTTCCACGGGCTAAAATTGTTCTAATCTCAGACTGTGGAAAGAAGCTGCCATCACCATGTGAGGAGTAGGAGGTGTGTACTGGGAGAGGCAGAGCCTCTGGTCTCCACACTGCTATATCTGTTATCTAATTTAAGGACACACTTGTCAAAGGGCCAGAGTCAACCTAGATTCCCAGACCTTCTAGACTCTTCTTTCAACTCTTAATCCATAAACCTCTCTCCACCTATGCCTTGCATCTATGGCAATAGTTACTCTGCAAAATGTATTACCTGACTCTTGGAACCTTCTCGCTATCTGGAAGATTTCAATATTTCGCTCTGATCCTGTTGTTGTCTGAGCCAGAGAACCAGCCTTCCTGAAGCAGGTGTGTATACGGGTATCCATGGTGATCAATGGCCAATCACCTTGACACTGTACAATGTGAACACCTCCAGGGTAAGGCCTCATTCATCCTTTTATTGTGGAATTTAGCAGATGACTGATACGTTGTGGATCCGCAGTCAGTTTCCCAACTATAGGAATGCTGGTCCCTCCCTCAGACTGCAGTTCATTTTAATGGGTCTTCCTACTAACCCTGGGATGAATTCACCATCATGAAAAAGTCTACTCAGAAGATTAACATGCAATCAACAGCAAAGAGATTGAGATCATGTGATCTATCATTAGCAAACAATGCATAAAGAATCCCCAGAGGGGGACCTGTGCCAGAGTCCCAGCAGGAGAGCTGAAGAGGAAGGGGAAGAACTAGAGGCTCCTGCCTGTGTCATCCACTCAGGCTCTGTGCTGCCTCACCCTTAGTGATGCAGAGCTTGGGTCTCTCTGGGACAGGGGATATACTTCCTTGGTGCCATCACTCACTGAATATTCTCTTTAGGAATTTATTTGACTAAGAATGTCCCCACCCTAGGCTTCTTTCTTTAGCAAGATGAGATTGAGCAATGAGCAAGTAGGAATGTCTCATCTGGATAATTCTGTAGGTGGAGTGAATGCCTTGGTCCATCTGTTTATTTTCAGTCTAGCCTGAGTATTCCCAGTCTAGGTTTGAATTTTGTGACTTAGAGAACTAAGAATTGGGAGATAATCCATCGATGAATTTTCTTAGTAAAAAAGAAATCGCTGGACTTAAAATGATTTGGGTCTTGTCTAAGTTTGCTCAGTTGTGCAAAGTTGAGAAGTGAATAGAAAAATCGCTTTGCTTTGTAGTAGAATGGTTTTCCAGACCGGGGGAGCCGCGGGTACAACGCTTAAGTGGCACGGGACTCAACGGGCCTGCTAATATCTCTAAATATCATCAAGGATAGTCCTGGATCCCCGGATGGCCAGGTTTGAAGGACTCATTGTCTGGGCTCTCCATTTGCTCTTTTTCTCTTGAGAATAAACTTTATTACATTGAGTTTGAAATAGTCCATTCAAAATGAGGTGTCAGTTAAATATATATGTTGAGTTAAGGAAAGACTCTTAGCCTAGGAGTATGGATTTGAGAAGTACCACACATATATAATAAACATCAGTCTTTTTTGGCAAGTTATCTTGTGCTGGTCAGTTTGGTCAGCACCTCTTAGAATTCGGGCAAGGGTTTTCTAAGCTTTTATTTTTAAAAAAGGGAACAAACTGTGTTTTCAAAAAATATCCTTCTCTGTATATTATCTGTATCAAGAATATTCTCTGTATATTATCTTTATTTTTTATTGTTTTTATTGAGCTATATATATTTTTCCCCTCCTCTTCTCTTCCTTTCTCCCCCCCTCCCCTTCTACCTTCTCCCATGATTCCTATGCTCCCAATTTACTCAAGAGATCTTATCTTTTTCTATTTCTCATGTAGATTAGATCCAAGTATGTCTCTTTTAGGGGCCTCTTTGTTGTCTCGGTTCTCTGGGATTGTGAACTGTAGGTTGGTTTTTCTTTCCTTTATGTTTAAAAGCCACTTATGAGAGAGTACATATTATATTTGTCTTTCTGAGTCTGGGTTACCTCACTCAATATGGTGTTTTCTATTCATTTACTCTTGTAAATGACTTGGAGGAGAGGCTTAAGCAGGATATGGCCAACATAGCAAGAAATGGTTCCTTTCTAATCCACTGGGGAAGAACTCTCCACCCTAGAGAGAAGACAGATTTCATACCTGGGAAGAAAATAGTTACCCATTTGGGAAAAAGGAAAAAGAGAAGTTTGAGAAGAGAGTTAATAATCAGTATTCAAAATAAGAAGGTGAACCCAAAGAAAGACATATAGTCATCCTCCTGGAGATTAACTTTCATCAGGCGATGAAAGCAGACAGAGACCCACATTGGAGCACCGGACTGAAATCCCAAGGTCCAAATCAGGAGCAGATGGAGAGAGAGCACGAGCAAGGAACTCAGGACCGCTAGGGGTGCACCCACATACTGAGACATTGGGGATGATCTATCGGGAACTCAACAAGGCCAGCTGGCCTGGGTCTGAAAAAGCTTGGGATAAAACCGGACTCGCTGAACATAGCAGACAATGAGGAATACTGAGAACTCAAGAACAAGGACACTGGGTTTTGATCCTACTGCACATACTGGCTTTGTAGGAGCCTAGGCAGTTTGGATGCTCACCTTACTAGACCTGGAAGGAGGTGGGAGGTCCTTGGACTTCCCACAAGGCAGGGAACCCGGACTGCTCTTCGGGCTGATGAGGGAGGGGGACTTGATTGGGGGAGAGGGAGATATGGGAGGCGGTGGAGGGGAGGAGGCAGAAATCTTAAATAAATAAATAAAAAAAATCAGTATTCAATAATGCAAAATACCACAGCTGTTTTTTTTCTAGGAATGGACACCCAAATAGTCTCAATAATTCTGCCATCACATACTATCTTCATGAACATTGTGGTACCCCTCCCCCATGTTGTGTTTTCTGTCACAATAAAACTTCGTTGGCTTTGGAGAACAATCTATATGGTCCCACAACATAGATATTATGAAAGGTTGAGCCAGTTTTCTTGGGAGAATTCTGTGGACATTAAGTTCAGAATGATGAAAAGCTATAAAGAAAAACTCATGCAAAATTACATATATGAACATGTAAAATACTGGAAGATTATTCCTGAGGGGGACTAACACATACACATTCCCTCTCTGGAAGCTTATTCCAAAAGATGTTATGCATTTGGGGGGATGTCTTTCTAAATACTTTAAATGTAAGATTAATATTTATACATTTATAGCATTTTGTGCAGGTAATGAACAAAGACAGGAGACTGAAATAACTGAGGACGCAGTGTAGTGTCACTTCCTTTAATGCTGAGGGCCTTCTTTACCTCACAGGAAGGATAAAGCTTGTTTGTTCTGTCAGAACAGAAGTGCTGTATGCTTATTTGTTTGATGCAAGATTTCATCCTGTGGCCCAGCCTGGCCTGGAACTCACTAAGCAGCACAGGTTGGACTTGAATTTAAAACAATCCTCCTGCCCCAGCAGGAGTGAACCACCACACCTGGCCTGTTTATTCTGACATGAAGTCTTCCTGTGCAGCCCAAGCAGGCCTCAAGCTCTCCATTCTCTCGCCCTGCTTTCCAAACACAGGGATGGCGCCCCGGACCTCGAGATTTAGCCAGAAGTAGGAGCTTTTCGCTTTTTTTTAATTTCAAAATTCAAGATTTCTGATTCTTTTGAATATCTATGCAATTCTCT